CTCGACTTGCTCTGCCAGCACCGGAGGAAAAGCGCATTGTGCCTTCAACCAATCCTGTCGCCGCAGAGAAACAGCCAGCTTTATTCACGAGACCTTTGCCAATTCTTGCTCCTGAAGCAAGCACTTCTACAGGAAATACCGTGCGCACCAGCAACTGTGAGCCAATAATTGAAGTACCAGCGTCACCCGAACCCGAGCCCAATGAGATAATAACCGAAAGTGATATTGAAGATGCATATTATGAGGATCCTGATGCTGATGAAATCCCTACCATCAAACTCAGCATAGAAGAATTCAGAACAACATTGCAAAATTTCATCCCTGAAGAAGACATGTCCAGAGCTTTAGTTGCCTTGAACCCAGAAGCTGCCCGTATCCCAATGCCAAAATTGAAGAATGTGAGCAGGCTACGGACTGAGCATCAAGTGTAAGTTGTTTTTCTACTTCCTCTATTTCATTTTTAATATAAAACAAGTAGACGCTGAATCTAAAAAAAAAAAAAAAAAAAATTAAACTAAGCAACTTTATTTTAGCATTAGGATAGTAACAATTTTGTCCATTTAGTACGAAACAATAGAATCATTATAAGGGGAGAGGTGAGAATCCATTAGATTTAACAATTTTTATAATTATGAGTTGAATTTGCATCTTGAGACCGTTCTTCAATTGTGCTATCACAATGAAGCAAATTTTCTTTTTGGTAATAAGAACATGCATGACTGATTTACTCTAGAAATGGTAATTTATCTCATTGAATTTGATTGAAACAAGTGAATATCTTGATTGATCAATATCCGAAGTTTTGATGTTGAATTTGGCTGATTCCGCCTTTAAAAAAGAAATTAAAGGAAATTTTGATCTTTAAGAACACCAAGATATTAGACTTGATCCTCCTAGACTGGACGGACTGTTTTTTTTCGTATGCTCATTCATTTTTCTCAATGTAATCTCGGTTTCGATAACTCGTCTTTTATCTAAATGCAGGTATGAACTTCCCGATTCACATCCTCTCTTACAAAAGGTAACATTTCCACTCAAGTTTGATAGAAGCACAGTAACGTAGCAGCCTTTAATTTGTAATAACAATAAGCTATTTAAACATACAGATGGATAGACGAGAACCTGATGATCCAAGCCCATATCTTCTTGCGATATGGACGCCAGGTAAGCAGTACTCACTAATCAGCTCTATAAAGCAATGATTTTCTGTTCCTTTCATCTGCCTGCTTCCTTTTCCCCTTCTCCATTTTGGTATCATCGTGGATGGGCAATAATGGTCTTAAGCAGATAAGGAGAGAATTATTTTAATTAACAATTATCTTTTTGTGAAAAAATATATATATATCTCCAAAAATCTTCAGGTGAAACAGCGAACTCGATTCAACCCCCGCAAAGTTGTGGGTCCCAAGACCCGAACAGGCTATGCAATGATGCAACGTGCTACACATGCAGTTGTAGAAGAGAAGCTAATTCTCAAACAGTCAGAGGAACGATCCTGGTAAGATATAACATGTATATCTATATATATATGTATGTATGTGTATATATATATGTATGTATGTATGTATGTATATATGTATGTATGCATGTATGTATGTATATATGTATGCTAACTTTAATTTATTACTATTTAAGAGTATTTTCGTCTCTGAACATTTCTATTCTCCCTTGCAAAATCGCAGATACCATGCAGAACCGCAATGCGAGGGAGCTTCCCACTCAATGGAACGTACTTCCAAGTTAATGAGGCAAGTCGTGTACCAACACCATTATGATCTTTAATGCTCTATTTTGTTTTTACCCCCCGAGAATTTGAGCGATTTAATTTGAAAATTTTCTATTTCGCCTTTTAAATTAATTTCAAATCCAACATTTGATTTAAATGTTCAACTTTTAAAAATTTATTCCATTGTAGTTTCAAAATTTTCAAAATATCCATTTTAAAATTTCAGATTTGTTTTTTTTTTCCTTACAACTTTTTATTAAACCACTATTTTATCTTTGTTTGTGACAAATTAATGGCACAACTTTAACGACCAATTTGTTCAAGTCCCTATTGGCTATATATATATTACTTATTTTAAAATTCATTGACCAATTGAGCTTCATTAGAATTTTTATTTTCATTCATAAATTACGTTAGTTAAATTCCTTTTTTTTTTTTTTTTCCTTTTTATTTCTAATAAACATCCCAACAAAATATTTTAATAGCAAGCATCTGAAACTGTAATTCCAAATAAATTTATAATAACGATATTAACTTCTCAACATGAAGATGCTTGAGACTGCATAATTTCTATTTTTAACTTCTTGTTCAAATTAGCAGATGTTTGCAGATCATGAATCCAGTTCAAAACCTATCGATGTTCCAAGAAAATGGCTATGGAACTTACCCAGACGAACCGTCTACTTTGGTACATCAGTATCTACAATATTCAGGGGTAAGAATACCCAGATTCAAGGATGTGATGATCTTCTTCCTTTTTGTTATTATCAACAAACTGCTGAGTGACGGGTTTAAGTAAATAAAAAAAGTAACTAAATATATGAATTTTTTGTCTCTAGGGCTAGTGACGGAGGAGATTCAGCTATGCTTTTGGAGAGGTACGTATTTTTCTAACTTGCTAAGTTTCTTGCATTGAGATCTAAATACAAGCAAGTAATGGTGGACTAAATTTTTAACCTGGTCAGATATTAAAACATAAAATTCATACAAATAAGATAAAATTTATTCACAAAAATAAAACGTAAATTTGCAAAAAAAAATTATACACAAAAATAAAACGTAAATTTGCAAAATTTTATTACCACAGTCGTGCATTGGTGATTGCAAATTATTTATTTTTTCACTTAATTCGTAATCGATAAGATTATATTAATTTTTAACCAAATTATTTCAAAAGAGGAACAAGGAATGTTACCTGTGTTTGAAAACAAATGAAGAAAAGTTTCACATGTTACATTGTATTTTTATTAAAAATAAAAACAATTTTTCAATAAATTACTCAAATTAAGTTCATAATTTAATGAAAACCAAATACAAATTAAAAATATTTTACAATTTTGATGAATTAAGTTAATTATTTAATAAAAGTTACTTGACCTAATTTAATGGTGTATTATTTGAAACAAGTAACTTTGATTATAGATAATTTATTAAAATTTTAATAAACACAATCACAAAGAATTGAAGTTGATTTCGGCCAATTTAAAAAACATATTTTAAATACATTGCACTCTTCATTTTCCATACATTAAATTGAAATTATCTTTTTCACAAAAAGTATTTTTTCACTTAATTCGTAATTGATAAGATTATCGTGATTTTAGAATCAGTCATGGTATACTAAATAGAAAAACATCTTCAGTTTTGTGATACGCTTTATATAAATATAGTTGTTATTTCTAAGTTGATTTCAAAAATTATAATAAAGAAAAATATATAGGCTTAAATATTTTTTAAAATAGCAAAAAATAAAGTCTTTCAACTCTTTAGCTTTTCCTTTTTGAAATTGAGAAACTAAAAAATAATCTAAAATCTTATAAAGAACAAAAATATTTTTCAAATGTTTTTTTTTCATTAAAAATAAAATAAAAGACTAGAAATACGACTTCACTGAGTGGTTGGAACTAAAATTATAAAATAAACTTCTTTTTACTTAAAGGTTTATAATGAACTGGCTTTAAAAACAAATTTGAAAAACTAAAATAAGAACTTACAAATTTTAAATAATTAATTTTTCAATTAATACTTGTAATTCTAATATTTAGAAAACAGCAGTTCATAATCACAGGGAATCACTAAGAATTTAATTGATAAACATTTTAGAAGATAATGTTTGGGCTGAAAAAATCAGTAATCAATAATAATATATAAATAAAATATGCTTTAGTAAATCAATTTCATGAAACAAATTTTAAAAATAAATTGTTTTTTTCAACGGTGTTAAATTGTCAGCCGCTGTATACTTATGGTCCAAAAAATGTAATAAAAATAAGAAATGAAAACTAGAAAAAATTTATCTAATTAATTTCTTGAGTTTCTATCTTATTGTGTGTGTGTGTTGTACATGTATATATATATATATAATAAGACCATTTCAACTAATAAACAAATTTCTTAAGATAAATCTAAATTTTTTACATTTTTGTAAGACATTTTGATGTATATGATATTGTATAAAAATATAGCATAACGAAACAAGATAGTTAACTTTGTCTAAATAAAAAGCTTAAACAATTTTAAGCAATTCATAACATCTAAATCTTAATTTAAATTGAAAAACACAACAAACCAAAATCAGATCAGCTTTACCGTAAATGGTAGGCTCAGGCAGTACTTACAAAATACTGCAGAAAAGACCGTAAAGCATGTCCTTAAATTCTAAGGCTTTATTTTCTTTTTTTGCTTTGTTTCTTTTCTCTCCTTTATTTTCATTTTTATATTCTTATAGAGGGGCTCAAAACTCGAGTATATTAACAATAAAGCTTTTAAAGGTATAAAGAATAAGGTCTATTTTTTTAGAATCCCTTGACATAGCATACAGCCTGTGTTCCAGTTGGTGTTTCAATTAACAGAGTGGTTTCTGTGGTTCTGTGGAGGGAAGGGAAAACCGCAGTAGGTCATTACCTCAACTAGACTGTTCCTTGTTTAAAACTTATATCCGAAGTTTAAGTGCCCCAAAAATTGGAAAAATATAAATCTTACCACACCTCTATTGACCAACTCGTCATGGAAAACCTGAGATTTAGTTGATAAATGTTGTTGGAAATGGTTTATAAGTGGCTTTTTTTCCCTGAAGTTCAGCTTGTGGGTAGGAAAATACTAAATCTCTAACCTTAAGAGCTATACTAAAGTTGGCCTTGTCAAAACATCCTATGAATTACCTCGGGAAGCTAGGGTTTCAACCAAGAGACCTAAACACAATAAAACCAATGTTGGAGGAGCCAAGTAAAAGGGGAAGGTAAAAAAGGTTGTAAGAGATTAAAAGACAAGGGTTCGAAAATTTCATCCCAAAAAACCTTATGGTCTGGCTAGTTGTTTTTCAGGGAGCAATTAGGTGTTGTGTCTAACGAGCCAATAGGTATTTCTGTGTATTGATTGGTTATTCAACCTACTAAACCCACCTATACAGACAACATATCTTTTCCAAGGGCATAGTAAAAGTTAGCTAGCACTGTTAAAGTTTAACTTACTTCCTAACTATTTGTTAAATGTATTCACTTGTAGCAATTTCATTGGCCTGTTTCCATTAGATTTCATCCCCAATACTCATGCCTATCATGATTCCAAAGAACTAAGGAGTTTCCTTATATGAACTCTTTATGATCATCTCACCCAAGGAAGAATGTAGTTAGAGCAATCTTGTGGGAGATATGGAAGAGGAAATGAAAGGATTTTCCAAGAGAATTATGACCTTTCGGATATAATTGGGGGATCTTACAACTTAAGATCCTACTAGGAATTTGTAGTTAGATTAAGGACTTCAGAGAAGCGAAAAGAGTATCGGTAAAGAGGTATCTGCCTGTAACGTCATCTCATCTCCATGCTAACAAGTTATGTTTCAATATTTAGAAACATACAAATGATTTCATAGCACCCATAGTGAGAAGATGATCACCTATAATTGATAAGCCTTCCCATGATGTACCAAGGGTTCTGATCATCCGTAACTGAGGTAGAAAAAAGCAAAGGTCAGAAAAACTTGAGAAATATCTGAGTGAATAAATTTCCCAAGGAAAAAATGAGGACGATCCACTTAATAATGACAACATGGCAAGGGAAGATTAGGGAGCATCAAATAGCTAAACTTTCTTATTATGCATTCAAGTAAGAATCTTACCTTATGGTCTATCAACTATATGTATTTCTGTTTGTGTGTTCTGCGGACAAGCTAAATTTTGAGTAATTTTGCAGGTTTTGTTTGTGTCAGAGGATTTGATCGGAAAACAAGGGCACCTCGACCTTTGATTGCTAGATTGCACTTTCCAGCAAGCAAGCTGGCCAAGATGAAGAACGAAAACACAGAATAGTCTACTTTTTAAGCAAAAGGGCAGAAAGTAAGAGCGAGAGCACAGAAAGGGATAGCTGACTGCTAAAGAAGATTTTCGACTAACCTATTGGTCTACATTTTTAATTATTCTTGGTCTAGCGTGAAATGCAATAGCTGCATGTTAGCCAAGCTGCAGAGGAAGAAGTTACCAAATTGAAATTTTAGAATCCATAAGTGAGATGTAGTCTCTACCCTATTGATATTCATATGATCATTCTCAATTAATGCTCGAAACAGAGCCCATTCTTCAAATCTTGCCTGCATCTAATTTTTCTTCCAGTAAGGTTTAACCTTTTTGTGCTTACACTCTTGGTATTTTAATGGTCAAAACTTGAAAGTTGGTATCTATCACCAAGAGAAGAATGAATGCAGAATGCATGTCAATGAGAGTAGGTATCCAGCATAGTTGGCATGAAAAGATTGTAGAGAAGGCTTGAATGCATACATGAACAAAAAGCAATAGCAATGGAACAAACTTGTCAGAGTCATTCGTCAGTACCTCACAAATGAAACAGTGTGCAGCACCGCCAAACACTGCAAGTAAGAAAAAGAACAGTAAATGTGCAAACTAAATCACACAATGAACAATGGGCAGAAAACTACGACTTATAGGTAAATAAATGCATAGCACTGTCAAACTAACATTTATCAAAAATCATGTTCAGTTACTTACGGATCATAACATGCCTGAGCGAATACTGTACGCACTTGACATTAAATCCAGGAAGCTATTTGCGTGGTCAGCTACTTTACAAGATATGAAGCTTCAAACAGTTGAGAATCACAAATCCATGATCCAAGTGTGGAAAGCTACGCCAAAGTGAGGACTCAATTTAAAGTCCCTTCAAAATACTAATTTTTAAGCGCTAAAGTTATGCAAGAAGTGAGCTTCGGAGCAATAAACAAGACAACAAAGAGGAGAAAAATAATCCAAAGGTCAGAATGAAAGTAGTTGAAGACCTCAAGCAGAGTTGCGCTGGCCAAGTGAGTGCTGCCACCAATTATTCCAACCACAATAGTTTCGTATAAAAAATTGACAACTAAAACCAACACCAAAAATAGGTATGCAGTGACAAATAGCGAATGAGAACTTCAAGTTCAGCAGTAAATTGAACAAACAATGCTTGATTGCTGTATCTACATCCATTGTAGAAAAATATAAGCACATACAACACAATGACAAATGATGTATAGCCACATTTAAACCAAGAAAATGTCAGCTGAACAATAAAAAAAGTATAAGCCGTGCTCATTCATAACTAAGTTCAAGTCTATTCAATATCCTTCAAGCTTAGATCTGAGATGGCACTTTTGTCATTGGATCATGACACAGTGAACTGGAAGCAGAAAAGGCATTTTTAAATAAAAAACTCGTATATGATTCAAAGTGCAGGAACAAAACTCCTAGTTTCAAGCCAAGGAATTTCAAGTACCAATAGCAACATGTACCAGAGACAAATTTATATACCAAACTTCTTATATAAGATGAAAATAAAAATATGTGGATCAAAATAATATTTGATACTATTTGGAAATGTGTAACTAGAGCACTCCTATGGCACGTTTGGCTCGAGAGGAATCTTCGTACGTATGAAGATAGAGCTTCTACTTATGAGATTTATTGGTAGAATGTACAGTACACCTCATCTCGGTGATTTTTAATCATAGGGCATTCTTTTGTAACTACAAACATAACGTGACTGTGAACAATTGAAAAGCCCTTGAATTCTTTTGTGGGTGGTGTTTCCCTCTTCCCCAAGCCCTTAAGATGTTTTCCTCTCACTTGTTAATATACTTAAGTTTCTTATAAAATAGAATATTGGCAATATTAAAGGACAATATAACAAATGATCAAACAAAAACACGGATATTTCAAAAATTATAATCAGCACATTGATGAACTGAGGTATAATCAGCAAGTTCTCCAAATGACAGCAGACTTTTTTTTCTTTTCAAACATGATGCAACCGTGCTCATGAAATCACTGTTTTACATACCTATTGTCTAACAGAACTACTTTGGTTCTTAAAAAGAAAAAAGAACATTCATCTTTGAGAGTAAAGGAAGACAAGTCCTGAAAAATAATTATTCAAATATGTTTTGAACCAAACAAAAAACACAAGTGAAACTTTTAAGAAACAAAAAGACTGAAGTTCTAGTCTAGACAAGATATTTCATAATTCTTTTCGTTACAATATTGATCTGCATAGTGTACTACATTAAAAACACGAGCTTGATAGATTCAATCGACCTCTCATACCACACCTTTCTAATATTAGAAACCATGATGTCCATTGCTGTGCATAATCAGCTAGCATTTATTACATGAACTAAAGTATTTCAGTTCTCTTTTTACAGAAAGATATTTCAGAAGTTCCAAGTAATGTTTCACAGACGATCTGATTACAATAAACACTGTCAACCTTAACTGGATTGATCATGGAAATCAGAATAGTCGAAGAGGATTTTGAGAGTAAAGTCAGAGTTTGGTCTGTTTCAGGCTGGGGGAGGGGTTTACATAAAATTTCGGTCACACCAGGTAGCAGCTAACAAAAAGCTTATGGTTATAGCATATACACACTGAATACACATGCTAAGGCCTTTTCCAAGGTAGAGTTGGAACAAATCTGACAAAACAAACCAGAAGCCCAAGCCTCTTGAGTAACCTCATATCACTAGAAGGCTTTCAAGAAACATACTGAAGAGTCTCAATTTACATTCTTTTATATAGGTAATACAATTAATCTCATATCACCAGAATGCATCTGAGCAATACACTTGAGAATCTTGATTCACATCTTTTTATATAGGTAATAAAGTTAATCTCATATTACTAGAATGCTTTCGAGTAAATTGAGAACACCGTCAAGCCGAACTTAATACTTGTAACTTACTCCATATATGTTCAATATCAGTGTAAAAAATTTCATCAAAATAGATGCATTGTATGTAATGTTAAGACATGAGGTACGCACAAAAGCTCCTACCAGCCTAACCATACAATGGAAGCACATATTGTACATTAAAAAATAAATAAAACTCTAAAAAGGTGTCCACAAAAAGAAGTCTTGAAGTCCATAGACATTGCAATTTTTTTATATAACTTCAAAGTTTCCAACACAAACAGTCAAGAAAAAAATGGATAATACTAACCGTTGTTTGCCTATATATACTTTGCTGTAGGAATTCAATTTAATTGCTAAATGAAACGTACAAAAGGAGACCAGGCCAAAAAAATAAAGTTGCAAAAAGAGTCACAAGTTTGCAATAACCATTGAAGAAACCAATAATATTACCTTTAGTTGACAACATAAAGGAGATAAGGGAGCCAAATATGAAGAAACAGCTGAGGGACAGATGATTTTTCTGCATGAATTGAAAGGGAAAAAAGTATGGGTGTCAAAACATATATGGACCTATATACACGGGCAAGTTTGTTATTATAGACACGAGAATGGAAGACCAAGGTGAGCCTAGTACAGATGAATCAAATGTATGCCTGCATAAGTGCAAGTTACAATTATGCCTCAAGGAAAAAGACAGGTGGCTATGCATGTTGTTTTAGTTCTGTCTTCCATGTAAATGTTAAGATGTTTTTGCATGCTCAACAATGCATATCAAGACAACTACATATTTATACCACAATTCCTCAACGAAAGATAACACTTATGATAATTCCTTGACGAGTTAATATAACAACAAGCTAACCATGTTAAATGAATCTGATCAATCAGAGTCAGACAATTTGTGCAGAAAAAATGTTGAGATTTATCTAAACGAAAATAATGCATGCTGTATGCTTCTCCAAACAAATTTTGTGTTTCAGATAAGATTCTCGCATCCTAACTCCAAAGTAAGACAACCAATACCACAATCAAGACAGATGTAGCCAAACATATGTTAACTTGTAGATCTTTGACTAATGTATGTTTAAGCGAACACATTACTACTTTATAACCAACAATTATATGTACGACTAACTTCATCCAGACATAAAATGTGAATGAGAATTGTGATGGCTCTGATGAACACAATCAAATGGATAGAAAGATAAATAGAGGAAATCGTAAAACGGAGATCTCAAGTTTACAGCTCAGAACTGTGATATGCAAATTGAAGCAAGTTTTACACATTTACCAAACATCGGGAAAAGAGCAAGAAAAAACAATAAATCTCTGCTTGATCTCGAATACTTTGAAGCATAAAAGTTAATCAAGCATTTTATTGGAAAATTATTATGTTCTTGTTTCTATGACCTAAACAAGAGTCAAAATTCGTATTATCTTCCAATGAAATTTAAAAGCATTCGCCAGTTTTTCGCACTCAACATCAAACGTCCGTCACATTACACCAACAGTAGACTGGCAAAACACTTTCTACTGTAAAAAACGAAGTCACGCCAGGTCTCGATCATCCACAACTATCAGATAAATTAAATCACATCTCCAGAAGAGATTACAACTAAATAACCTAAGAACAACAGTCTAAAAAAAAACGAAGAAATATACACGATAAGAAACAGAACATAACGACTCTCCCTCTCTCTTATCTGTTGCTGCTTAACAACAAATCGTACGGACATATACATACAGCTTTTACACCACGATTTCTCCGAATACAAACGCAAACACATAGAAAACCCGAACGAACAGAGATGAAAATAACAAATCAAGAAGCAAAAACCACAAAAACCTAGGGTTTTTTTCTATCGCATCACGAGTTTCCGATTCAAAAAATCTAAAAAGACTAAAACGCACCAGTGATTGATTCGGCTTGAATCATCAGAATCCGAAAGAGACATCGACGAAACTCCATGCATTTGGCGATGAAAAATGCAGAGAGACGGAGAGACAGAGATAGAGAGAGAGAAGAAGAAGAACGGAAAGAAGAAACGGCCATGGCGAGAACCGAGAAGTTTCTAAATATGGAGAGCTTTTTTCGAGGGATTGGTTTCGCGCCTCTTTGTGTAGCAACTTTGTAAGTTCCCTCCGAACTATATTTAATCGCGCGGGTGGGAGGGACGAGGGTGCATGCTTTTTCGGTGAAACGTGTGGGGAGACAAAACCAAATGACAAAATCGCTTTTCTTGCTTGAATTCGGGGATGTGAGAGCGAGAAAGATCACAATTTAGCCGTACGATCCAGCCACTATCACTCCACGTCAAATCTAACCGTCCAATTTTATTTTATTTTATTTTATTTTATTTAAATGATGGGTTAACTATTTAATTTTTATAATAAATAATTCGCCCTCGAGGGTTTATTATTTTTTCTTCTAAGAGTGGGAGTGGAATATATAATAAATAATTAAATAATTCCATAACCGTCCTAATGTTACCACTTACGAATGAGTCACAATGCTCAAAAATAGTTCTATATAACGAATTATTTAATAGCTATCTCTATTTTTTTAAAAGCTAAAAAAAAATTAATGTTTTTTATTCTCTTTAATGATAATGCATATTTTAACTATAAAAGACGTTTTTTTTATTCATATTCGTAGTTCTATAACCTAGCACATCGTTTTTTTTTTAATATTTTAATTTTAAAAAATATTTAAAATATTATTAAGAAAAATAATGTTGGCTCATACCACTTGTCACAGTCGCATTTTGATGGCATGGACTTGCGATTGTGTGGCACTCACTTTCTAGCCACAAGTAAGTTAAGCCTATTCGTTATTGCATCGCCTATGATTAAGCGACATATGCTCGAGCCTCTGGCCCCAGTTCAAAAATAAAGTTTTAGAAAACAGAGCATAGAGATTTGAAAGTGGTGTTATATAGGAATGTAAGCAAAAATGCAACAACAACTGCTTACAGCGCATGTAACTATCGTGTAGGGAGAAGTGAGTTAAAAAATTATTCGTTTTAATAAATATCAACTTTAATGGTGAAAGATTGAACCATTTCACTTGACTACTTGGTCTTAAACGAGGCTTTTAGTTTAGTCATGGCATTAGTTTGTGTAGGAAGACAAATCCAATTTTGATTCGAGAACACATGGTGTATATAAGTCAATAGGTCAATTAAAAATTAAATGCACAACACGTAAGTACATGGCAACTTCTCACGACCTCATCACATTTATCATCGAAGAGGTCGTCTCGAAGATTGGACACGATGCTGCGTTGTAGAGGCCTAACGCAATAGAAGTTGATTACATGTCGTTAAAGCAAAACCTTCCCGACGTACACCACTTTATTTGACATGAAGATTTCTCTTTTTAATATTCACAAGACAACAAGGTAATTTGTAGGACATTAAATCACTAATTAGTTGGCTAACGTGATTCGAACCTATTCCCTCCGATCGTTTAGTCGACTATTTCATTCGGTTTCTAGGTCGTGAAGAAATTGTTCAACACCTTCCCAATTAGCAGAGGGAGAATAGGAACAGTTACACGCCACAACAATCATACATTCGTCCACCTCCATTACGCTTTAGGAAGCATCCGTCTTCGATAAACTACCCACCTTGCAGTGTTCCTCCCCTCTCCAAAACTCGGTGCGACGATTAGACATCCTCAGACGAAAGCATGGTCTTTTAAAATTGGTCGTTGTATGTCACCACGTCCCACCTATCCTACACATTCGATTAAGATTGTCACTGCGAAGCTACAGTTAAGGTGCATGGGGTCTTACCATCTAGCCGTTAGTACGCCGCATCTATACGGAAAATTCAATTTCACCGGGTCCATGTTGGAGACAGTGAGGCAATCGCTACACCATTCGTGCAGGTCACTACTTATGTGGCAAGGAATTTCGTACCTTAGAACAATTAGAGTTACTGCCGCCGTTTACCGGAGCTTCCATTCAGAACTTATAACACTTCTCCGCCCGACCTTCCAGCACTAGGCAGGTGTCAGATTCTATACATCGTGTTACTGCGTAACAGAGTACTATGTTTTCAATAAACAGTCGATATCTCCTAATGTGTCGCTTTCCTAATCAAAAGATAGGAGAGCACTCCTCCCATAAATACGGGATCATTTTGCCGAATTCCTTCGACATGGTTTTCTCAAACGCTCTAGTATACTCTACTTGTTCACCTATGTCGGTTTTGAGTGTAGTCAGTTTATCGGGAGGGCGCTGCTTAGCCCAACGAGCTATCAGAAACTTTCATGTACCTAATGCGTCCAATAAGAGAATTTTGATACAATTTATTCCTAGGCTGCTCTTTCGCCTCTCAGTTGTGGTGGGCTCTTTTCAGGACCTTTGGAGTTCAAGAGGCTTTTCCTTGGTTGGTGGTTTTTGGTTTACAAGAAGCCTAACGTGCGTTTGGGTATCTATTGGCAAGTTTGACCAGACAAAAACCGGACCAACTTTTAAGGAAGAGTACAAATATTTGGTAGTTATTTTCGACTACTCTTAAAAGAGGACCAACTTCGGGGCCGGTATCCGGCTCTGATGTCATTTGTAACCGCTCCTTTCAGACTTTCTCATCAGGTTTTCTAAAACACGTATGCTAGGGAAAGGTTTCCACACTCTCATAAATAATATTTCGTTCTCCTCCTCAACGGATGTGAGATCTCACAATCCACCTCTTACGAGACCCAGCGTTCTCGCTAGCACTCATTCCCTTCTCCAATCAATGTGGGACCCTCCAATTCATCCCCTTCGGAATCCAGCGTTCTTGCTGGCACACCGCCTCGTGTCCACCCCCCTTCAGGGTTACACCTCCTCCCTGACACATCGCACAGTGTCTAGTTGTGATACTGAGAAGTTTCTACACCCTTATAAAGAATGTTTCGTCTTCCTCAATCGACGTGAGATCTCATAATCCACCCCTTACAGAACCCAACATCCTCGCTAGCACTCGTTCCCTTCTCCAATCGATGTGGAATCCCCCAATCCCCACCTCCTTCGGAGCCCAACGTCCTTGCTAGCACAACCGTTTCATGTCCACCCCCTCCGAAACTCAGCCTCCTCGCTAGCACATCGCCTAGTTTCTGGCTCTGATACCATTTATAACCGTCCAAGCCCACTGTTAGCAGATATTGTCCTCTGTGTTTTTCCTTGGACTTCTCTTCAAGGTTTTTAAAATGCGCGGTTTCCACGTCCCTATAAAGAAAGTTTAATTCTCCTCCCAAACGGATGTGAGATCTCCCACTTATAATACCTAGAATACCTAAAGAGATAGCAATTTCAAGCTTCAAAACGTGACAAAAACCAACTAAAAGTTCGATTTCACCATCAATTTGTACACAGAGGACATAGATTTACAATTGAAATCCAACAAATCAACCATAAAAGGGACTTCACAAGCTTGTTGTTTTTGTTGTTCTTCTTCAATAGTAATGTAATTAGAACCAAAACAAGAAGCGCAGCAGTAAAACCTGAACGCTTGCCCAACCAAGCAAACCAGTCAACGCAACCGCCCTCGCCGCCGTCGGATCCCTTCGCCCCATTTTTTTCTCTTTCTCTTTCCTTGATATTTCCGCCCAATCCGTCGCCGTTCCGACTATGGTTCACTTTTTTCGCACGTGATATGGCCGGGAAAGTTCCCGGAATCTGCAGCCGTTCGCGGCATCCATGTCTGTCGGGTGAGGGAAACAATACGAGGAACTAGGCAGTGGAAAACTCGTGTGTATTGTCCAATCATACTCTTTTAGCAGCCTTTTAACTCAACAAATAGTGAATCCTGTGAAATTTATAAACAATTTTAATATATGCTGAAAGTCTCCATTCACTTTGAAACAAATGTTTTAGATCTTAGACAAACACGAGTCTCCATGGTGGTATGATTATGTCCACTTTAAACTTTAAGCATAAGCTCTTATGGCTTTGGTTTGGGTCTTTCAAGGTCTCAAACGAATGGAGAAAGTATGCTTGAATTATAAACCCATGATCATTACCTAAATTAGTAGACCACGTGAGATTTTCATCATCAACATTAGAAAGCTGAACTCAGGAACGTTAAAATACTAGATAGGTTAAGACCAACCATTATATGAGTGACTGTATTTATATTAAGAAAATGATTTAGGAATTTTATGAATAAATTTAAGAAAATGATTTAGACACTCCACCAAAAAAACTTGAGAAATTTTAGGAATTGATTACCTATCATCTATAAATACCCTCCACCTTTATCATCCCAAGAAATCGAGTAATACTGTGGTTTGTTTTGTAAATCTATTGGTCTTAATAAAGATCCCAAGAAATCTCGAGTGATACAAACAGTGGTTTCTACCGAGTGTTTTGTAAATCTCTTCTCGATTGGTCTTAATAAAGTGTAGAGTTGTGTTGAACAAAAAATTGACCATAGTATATGAGTGTTTTGTAAATCTCTCCTCGATTGATCTTAATAAAATGTGCTAGTGACAGAGAGTTGTGTTGAACAAAAAAATTGACCACAGTAATTTTGAGGCATTTTAACTTTAGAACAACTCCAATTAAATTTCAAAAATAGTAAAAATTATGACTTAAAAGTAGATAAAAAGAGTTTATAACGGCAGTCATCAACCACATATTTTGAACAAGAATGACTAAAACTTTGGGCTTTAAATTAAATATTAGTGAGAAATGATCTTACCAATTATTCAATTAATTAAATAACATAAAAATATTCACAAATTATAAGAGAATGATAAAACTATATTAAATATAATATTTTAATATTTTAATATTTTTTCTTTATTAAAAATGTACAAATAAATATATATTTTTAACATTAAAAAAAATATATATATATATATATATTATTATTTAGAAGTATTATTTAAATAAAAGTACAAATATTATTTACTTATTGTTGTTGTTTTAAGGGGAAGGGAGATTATGGAATGATGACATGAAAAGAAGCGCAGCGGTAGCTTTTTTTGCAGTCGTCTCAGGTCTCCTCCACTCTCCACTCTCCACTCTCCCTCTGCAGATCTCTCCCACGCTATTTTCCAGCGTGGTCCCCACACCGTTGGTCTGTCCGTACACGGCTCCCTGACTGCCTGTGATGTACAGCTGTCGTGAACAGAGAGGAATAGAAATGGCGCCACATTCCCTTTTAGGCAAAGACAAAACCCACTTCCCCGACAAAATC